TGAAAAGTTTTTTATGATAAGTAAAAAGTGCAACACTTATCAACTTTTTTTTTCAATAAAAAGGCTTATCCAAAAGTTGTAAAGTGATAAGTGATAAGTCGTTGGTGCAGTTGGGCCCAGAGCTATTATATCATCCATACATATGTCTATATACATATACATATACATATATGAACATGTATGTTCATTAGTTATTAATGGACCCATTTAAAATGATTTCAGTATTTTTTAAACTTTATATCATCCATACATAAATATGCATATATAAATATACATATTAGATTATGTATGTTCATTAGTTATGAACGGACCCAGTTAAAATGATTTTGAAAATTTTCGCCTTCCTTTTTAGCAAGACTACTAAACATATGCCTAAAACAATGCTACGAATATCGAAACCACTTGCAACAGATGAGTTCATACATATGTATGTACATCAGAAGTGGGCACTTTTTGCTCGCCAGCGTCGCAGTTCGTATACAAGAATGATAGAATACAAGATTGCGCCGATCAGAGAGGATTTTTGAGAATAACTTTTGTGTGACGTCACACTGGTGCAATTGCGAGAGAGAAATGCCAAAACGTGAGCAAGAATGGAAGAAGAAGAAAAAATTTTGCAAGGAAAACGTAAACAAGTTGCACAAGTGTGACGTCATGCAAACAACGATTCTGTCAAATTCGTTAAGAGAGGAATAGCGGTCCGAGATCGGCGCAACCTTTGTATTCTCTCAATCGTGGTTCGTATACGCACACAGAAGCAAAGCAGCGAATTTCAATTCAGTCTGCTTGCAGATTTCACCAAGGTAGCATCATGCTCGGCTGTGCATTGTTTTTCTTCGTAATTTTTGCACGCGCTTGCCACATTTTGTGTAGAAAATTTACAAAAAGTCCCCAAAGATAAAAGGGGTGTGTTTTTCTTAGATTGTTGTTTGCATGCATTTGCGACGATTCTAACACAAAATACTGCGACCCTATACAAGAACTAAAGTTTATTGTTCAAAGAACTTTCAACAAACCGCAATATCTGTTATACGGTTATGCCTACGTATTTTTAATATAAGCGAACTGTATTTTTAATGCCATGTCGGCCGCTCATGCATACTGGTGACCAGTACTCACAACTGACGGGTCAAGGAAACCGTTAGTGGTACCCAGACGGGTCCTAGTCAAGGTTTATATAAAAAAGGTTGCGCAATGCGTTATTCTTTTCTCGCAAAATTGGGCGACAACAACAGCGAAAACAATAAGCAGCGGAAACAACAAGCAGCGTAAAAAAACATAAAATTGAAATGAAGTGAAGCGATTTCAAACCAATTGTAATCGATAGCTTATTCGAAAATACATTTACAGTTAATTTTAACCAAAAAAAAGCCACAAAATCGGATTTTTCACTGCGGTAAATTTTTGCGAAATTTTGTGTATCGATTGATTTGCAATTTGTGCACAATAAACAAGATACTATTCTAAAGAAGATAAGTCTAACTGCACTTCTTAATATTTATTTAAAACAAAATTACGGATATTTTAAAAGTTTTATAAAAATTAAGGAGGTGATTTTTACAAATGCAAAAGTTGAGTTATGAAGTTTACAATTTTTGTTTTGTTTTAACGCAGCATTAAAGACAAATATATACGGATATTTTTGGGAAAGTTTCAGGTTTAGACAACAAGTAGTTCTAAAGTTATAACAATACTAGCAGACCCGGCGAACTTCGTCCCGCCCAAAATTTTTATATATTTTATTGAAACTTTTTGGTCCAACATTTTCACCAACAATTCACGTTTACGATTTTCATTGGCACATTTGTCTGCTAAGATTAAGGTTTGGTGGTAATTTTCCGCTTTAAATAACCTAAGGAAAGTGTTATATCCGTTCTTGAAATTCTCCAGTTGTGCGGCATTTCATAGCACGGTTATTCGCAAAGCGAAATTAAATTTTTTCCTCTTCACTCCCTGGCGGCAACCCGGTTCTATAGTGAATGTCCTAGAAGCTTTACAGTAATAGTAGGTGCCAATTTCAAAATGGGTGCGAATCATTGTTCTGTACCTTAAAAGTTTGAACGCATAATAATATTGGAAAATCACATCCATTGGGCCAATTGCAACGCAGGACCGTCGATATACTCAATGGTGCAACAGGTCGATTTAATCTGACCTTCACGGCCCCTTTTCTCACTTGGCTATTTTTAGTAATAGCTCGACTTCAGCACCACTTGGCAGCACGTTTTTGCAATAGTATTGCATACATATTTAAAACATTAGCCAAATCGGATCATAAATAAGATTTTTAGTAATAACTCAACTACAGCGCCAACTGTCGGATTAAATTGTGAAACTAAACCATCCAGAGACCCACTCAAATACACAAAAAGTGTCGTTAAAATCCGTACAACCATTTAGGAGGATTTCACTCACAAACACACCTACAGAAGAATAAAAAAATTCATTCAAAGATAGCTAAAGGTCGGTAGGTTTGTAGGCCTCACACCCCTTTTCAAGTAGCACAAATTTTCTAAATGAGTATGGGCTTGATTTCAACTATATACATATCTCCATACGAAGTTCCAGTACTGTACCATGAATACTTTCAGAGATATGCAGTATAAAAATTCGATTTATATGGGAGGAGCCACGCCCCCCTTTCCAACAGCTGCCCTCTTTCTTCATGAGTATGCGATTGATTTCGTATATCTCCACACCAAGTTCCAGAACTCTACCATGAACACTTCCAAAGATATGCAGTATGAAAAATTCGGTTTGTATGGAAGAAGCCACGCCCCCTTTTCCAATAGTTCCAATTTTTCTCCAAGAGTATGCGACTTATTTCGTACATCTCCATACAAAACTCTAGCACTCTATCAAAAAATTTCCAGAGATAAGCAGTATAAAAAATTCGCTTTGTATGGGAGATGTCACACCCCTTTTTACTATAGCTAAAATTTTTCTCCAAGGGTATGCGATTGATTTCGTATATCTCCATACCAATTTCCAAAATTCTACCATGCACACTTTCAGAGATATGTAGCATGAGAAATTCGGTTTGTATGGGAAGTGCCACGTCCCCTTTACATATAGATTTTTTTCAGCCTTAAACCATCCTTGGGACACGTGCGGCAGGTGGCAGTTTCAAAAAAATCGGCTCAGCCGCTCTCGAGGCTTTCGAAAACTAACAAACGGCTTTCTAAATATAAATTAGTTGAGATATATTACATATTATAATTATATTTTGACAGTATCCGTTCTTTCTGATTGGGGCAAAAAAATCTTGCCTAGTGACGAATTAGCCCCTTGATATGGTCGTTACTTAAAGCTATTTATATTCGAAATTGCATGAAAATTGGAAAACAGGAATCTATAAGCTTATCCAGGCAAAAAGCTACCTATGTACCGAATTTTAAGCAAATCGGACCATAAATACGATTTATTCGAACAGATCGGTCCCTGGTCCACTTCTCGGACAAAATGGACCATATATCCTAATATATGCTAAAAAACTACTTACGTACCGAATTTTAAGCAAATCGGACCATAAATGCGATTTTTTGGAATAGATCGGTCCCTGGACCACTTCCCGGAAAAAATTGGTCATATTTGGTAATATATGCTAAAAAGCTACTTACGTACTAAATTTGAAGCAAATCGGACTATAATAAGATTTTTTCGAATAGACCGGTTCCTGGTCTACCTACCCGAAAAAAAGTAAAATTTTTTAGCCTAAAACATGGTGGTTACCGAAAGCTATTTGTATACAAAATTTCATGAAAATCTGACCAGCCGTTCGCGAGATTACCTGTTACAAAAAAAAGGGACTTCTCTTTATATAATTAGTATTGATATAGATTATGATGACACCCACGAGCGGTCGCTCGCCTCTAGATGACAAATATTTTTACTGGGCACTTGTACAAGTAATTTTGGAAGTAATTGTAACTGAAATGTTAAAATGCATGAATTTGTCAGTGTTATATAACTATTACTAAACTTAATAGACATACTTACATACATAGTAAATATGCACGTAACTCCATACATAGTCAAAATAGTTATTCGTACAGTGATTGTTTCACAATATGTATTCGCATTGTTTTTAATAATGATTATTCGGTAGTTTTTCACGAAAATATAGTTGATGTTTTAACAAAAACTATACGAATTAAATTTTAAAACTTTTTGCAAAACTTAAAAAATACTACAAATTTTCATCTATATTTCAAAATTTTGACTCACATTTTTTAGAGAAAAATTGCGTTGATTTATGAAATTTTGTTTTCTCAATGGTGTTGAACGTTTTCTTCCATGCAAACCTACATTTTGCTCATGGAAGCAGATATGTAACACCCTTGAGAAACAAATTCTAAAAAATCAAAGGAAA